CTCCTATGATTTGCATTTTATCTAATGAAAGTTGTCTATCTAATGAAATTTAAGATGGTAATATTAGAAAAATGATTATTTTATTTTATTTTGTAGAAATCTATTTTAAGTATCATTTTAGTATTCATTGATATTTTTTTATAGGAGAAATGTGTAGTCTGTTACCAAAATATGTTGGCTGGTAGAATCGAGCAGGAAGACCCATCTTGGAGAAACGTAAGCAATTATATTTGATGACTGGGGAGTTTAGACAAGTTATGGTGCCTATGTAATTTTTTTTTTTTAATAAAGTGATGCTATGTAAGATTCAAAGTAAAGGTAATTTATTTGTATTAATGGAATTACAATTATTTATTTATTTATTCTTTGCAAATGATCTATAAGTGTTTTGTACAAATGTAATTTATTTGTGTATATATATATATACATACACACTAAAGTAGAAACATGGAGCATCATGGCCTGAGTTTTCTCCCTTACCCCAACCAAGAACTCTCAACCCCTCTTCATTTTAGCCTTCATTTCTCCCTCATAAAGCCACCTCATCACTCTCTTCTCCCACTCTCATTTTGACATCTCAGTATGCCTTGCCCATCCCTCTTTTCTCTATCTTTATCCCTTTGGATATCCCTTCCTAAACTATTCCTAAAATCTTTCTCTACCAAAATCTAATCTCATATATCCAAGTGGCACCACTATCCCCCACTTTCTCCTAAATTATCTATAATTCCTATTTTTCTCCTAAATTATATATAATTCCTAATTATCTCTAATTTAGTAGATAGTTTCTATCCTAAATTATCTATAATTCCTATTTATCCTATCCCCAACTTTTCATCTATATCTATCAAATGAAAGTTTGAATTAAAAAAAATAAGAACTATTTAAATATTATAATAAAATTATTTAAAAATACAAAAAATATTAATAACTTTATACTTTTATGAAATTAATAACAAAATTATGTACTAATGATATAAATTATAATTTTATAATTATTCAATTTAAATATTATTCATATAATAAAATTTAAAATTAAAAAAATTATTTAAAATTTTCAATAATTAAATATTATAAATAAAAAATATTAAAAATAGCTAAATGTTCTGTAACAAAATATTTAATATTATGTAATAACTTTAATATAAGTACAATTTCAATAATAAAAATTTTAAATATTTTACATTTTATTTAAATATTTAAATAACTAAATATTTTAAACAACAAAACATTTAACATAAATAAATTTTAAATAGTTAAAAGAACAAAATTAATTAATAAACTTAAAATTTTTATGAAAATTAGAAAATTTTTATCATAGATTTCATAATATTTGAATTAATAATAAATTTATATTTTACAAAATTATGTAATAGTAGTATAACTTATAATTTTATGGATTATGAAATTCAATAAATAAGTAATGCTGAAATAACTAAATAATGATATTAATTAAATAGATAAATAATATTGTAAATAACTAATTTAAAATATTAAAAATTTATTAACTAAATAATAGTTTAAATATTATTTAAAAAATAAAATATATTAAATAAAAAAATCATGTAATAACCTTAAAAATTTTATCAACAACACAAAATAGTTGATAATAATAATATTATAGACTTAATAATATTTGATAATAATAATATGACATATAAATAATTTATTTTTTTAATTTTATTGAAATAATGAAAAATAGATTAAATATTTCAAGGTATTGAGCTTTCAAATAACAAAAATGGGTAATTACTTTCAAAAAATGTTTTTAATAGATTTTAAAAATATAAAAAAATATAATAATAATTGCAATTATTAATGTACTAATAATAAAAACATTATTTCACTTAGATCAATTAATAATTCTAGAAAGTAACTTTCTGGAATTGATATTTATTAATGATAATTTTAAAATCTTAATCTATATTTATTATAAACTTATATACTAAAACTTATATTATTGATAAATATATTTACTATAATTATGTATAAATCTATTTTTGTTTTGTTATTTAGTAGAAAATTTTCAATAATTATTGGACATTAAACTATTTTTATTTATTAGATATTAAACTATTAGTTCAACTAAAATTAGGAGTGTTCACAGGTTGGTTCGATTTAGTTGTACATTGTTTGGCTAACCAAATTGACGTGGCTAGGTTGGGGAATTGGTCACCCAAAACCAACCAACCATTAGTGAAAACCAACCAACTTGGGTTATATTGGTTTGAACCAATTTCCAGTTTGGTTGGTTGGTTCAAAAGATTTAAACTTAAAAAATTAAATTTAAAAATCACAATGGTATTATTAAAAGATAAATTAAAAATTTAAATTTACAGTATAAAATATTTTAGACTAAGGAATATGAGAAATTTCCCATTTATGTGCTTTTATTGCTTAGCTTTCACTTAACAAAGCATGTGCATCACACAGGTCCCTACTAGGTGCAACTTGAGTGGGTTGGGTCAGGTTGAGGGTCAATCCAATCCAAAGTCTCAAACCTCAAGCTTAAGCTTGGTCCAATTCAAGGTTATGCCTAAGTTTACCAACCTAGGTTCAACTCAACCTTAACTAAACATCTCAGGCTTAGGGATGCCAATTTTTACCATACTCGGTGGGTATCTATCCCTACCCACCTCGACGGGGCAGGTTTTTTGTTTGAAGGATGGGTTTTTGGGCAAGTTGGGTTTTGAGATTCTACAACTCGTACGTTACGGGTAGGGTATGGTATTAGGCTAAACTCGAGCCCTTCAACTTGCATATTGTTGGAATGCATATAAACTTTATGTACTAGGTGGTGAATTTAATAATATTTTGAATTAGATGTAAAGGATAATTGATAGTTTATGTGCTCTTTTACATCTTAATCAAATAATTAGAAATTTTGTTATTTATTTATGTTATTTTACTTATTTATTGCTTTTGTATAACAAGGAATAATAGGAAATTAAATGTGGGTTTTAAATCCAACCCACCACTACCCTTGAATATGGGGAGGGTTTTGCATTTTCATGTACAAGGAGGGTTTGGATTCTCCAAATCCAACCCGCTAGGCAGGTAGAGCTTATAATTTACAAAATCCTCACCAAATCCACTCTGTTGCCATTCCTACTCGGTCTAGGCTTGGGCTTGGGCATATTGAGCTTTGTAGCTCAATTGCATTGAATCAGTACTTGAGGCCTCAACCTAAGCCCAACTTGAGTTTAGTTTAGGCCTGAGTTTTTTTTTTTTTTTTTTTTTTTTTTTAAAGTTCAAAAATTCAAACCGAACCTTTACAAAAGCTTTGATTGAATCGGATCGAGTTGAATTGAATACACCCAACTTGCACCCCTAATTCTATTGCTTGAAATTATTTTAACAAAGCCCATCAGATGGGTCTCCCCTAGTTAGTTTTTATGTTGTTAATTGGAACAAGTGATCGAATGGTAATAAAGGGAAAACAATCAAAACAAATATAAGGATTGTTTATTGGTATAGCGCCTTAAATGACGGACAGAATTGTTGGTACATCACAAACTTATAACAAACCCTTACTATATTATAGGATTTATTGGTTAAAAACAGAATTGAATAAATTAAAATTTTTAAAACCAAACTTTTAAATGGAAAATCAAACCAAAATCAAAACTTTTGGTTCGTTTGTTGGTTAAAACCGAATTTCAACAGTATCTATATTTTAATGTATACCATAGATATTATATATTAAAAATATAAACCGTAAAGCCAAACTAAAAAGGTCAAAACTGAAAATTTTGATTCGGTTTTATAATTTTAATTGAATAATGTTCACCCCTAATTATACACTTGTACCTAAAGATATAATGATTGGTAATTTGATGTATATAAGACCTATATTGACGGCAAAAACTATTGGTATGGTATATCTATACTGACAAACCAAGCCATCGGTGTATTTTGCACATGTACGGATGGATATCTTTTACCGATGAACGATATCGGTGTATTTTGCACATGTTTGGGGTGGACGTCGGACCTATATCGATATCGATGGTTATTGTCCGTTGGTATATGTCATATTTCTGGTAGTGAACCATTTTAAGGGCATTAGAGATTTTGAGCAGCCCTTAACATTTTAATGGGACTTTTTTATTTTGGGTGTCAAGGACCCACTAATTTATATAGAAGTAAAATTGGTTTTAATAAAATATACCCCAACTTTATACTCGGCTCGCCCCCTTATAGTATATGTTTTTAGAAAATAAATTATATAGATATATTCGAAATATATAATTAATTGCATATAATATACATTTTCTTTATGCTAAAAATTAAGATTTGAGTCAAAAAAGCTTTTGGAAGAAGGAAGGCACCTTTGACACCAAAAAAGAAAAAAAAAAGTCGTAGGGTTTATTTGGTTTGTAGTTAAAATTGGAATTGAAATTTTATAAAATCGGAATCGGAATGGTTTATTCCCATAGTTTATTTGGTTCGGAAAGGAATGTGAATGAAAATTGAAATCAACAAAAATGAGATTTTGTTCCCCAAAAAGGGACAATGAATGGCCATTCCTTCAAATGAAGGAAGGTCATTCTAATAGGAATGAGAATGAAATTCTAATTTTGTCCAACCAAACAATCAATTTCGATTCCAGACCCCTATTCCCACGAATCAAACGGGGCCCTTAGATGCTGCTTTGTAAGGTATAAGGAGAAGCAACACTTGATGTAAGGTAAACAATTTATTGTTGGAGAGGAATGAGGAAATGGTGGCGGTTAAAATGAACGACATATATGGTAGAGTAAGTCCAAATCAAAGTAAGCAGGAACACACGGTTAACAAACTGGTTGTTGAGTTCTTCCTGAGTATACTCAGAAAGCTCACAAGAGTGTACCTACTACCTACTAAATCTGGTATCGGTGGGGAAGGGAGTTGCGACAATTCAGGAATCCCACAATTCCCTCATCTGTTGTTAAAACCTATAAATTCACACACATAAAGCCCACGTCTTCCAAGCCTATCCGGGACGACATAAACCCTAATTAACCCCCAGTGCCAGTGCCAGTGCCAGTGCCAGTGCCAACATGACCAGGCTTGATATCAAATTGTGTTTGTTTGTGTGTTTTTTCTGCATTAATGGAGTTATTGTTTCGGGAGAAAGATCAAAACCAGTTGATAGAAGCATAGCAGCAGATACAGCGCTATCTGGAGAAGTCCAATCCAATATCTTCAATGTGATTAGTTATGGCGCCAGAGGAGACGGCAGAATCGATGATAGTCAGGTTAGTCCATTTGGTTTGCGAAAATAGGGATTAGCCATTTGAATGAAAATGGTAGATTAATTGGGTTTTGAGAACTGTGTGATTGATCCAAATCCAAACAGGCTTTCAATGCAGCGTGGGAGGCGGCATGCGGATCTTCGGGTTCAGTAACGCTTCTGATTCCAAAAGCAACTTACCGACTCGGCCCTATCAAGTTTTCGGGACCCTGTCATCATGTTACATCCATCACCGTCGACATGCAGGTGAATTAATATGGAAAAAAAATCTCGTGCAATTTAGTTTGGCCCAAATTGATCAAGGCCCAAATTAAGGGACGGCTGGATGAATATGACCACCGACCAGTCCAAGGCGTTTCTACTATGGGCTTAGGCTTTTTTTACTATTGACTTGTTTGGTGCGCTTTTTTGTATGATCTTTTGGCTGTTTATAAGTCAGGTAGACCGATTTTCCGTCTATTCCTATTTGTTTTATGAAAAATTTAGCCGTTAAAAGCTGGAGTGCTGAAAAGATGCGAAAAATTTATTTATTTTTCGAATTTTATTCTCGCATAAAAAGATGTATATCTACCAATTAATTTTCAACTATTCAGATTTTTGTGCAAAAGCTCAATGAATCTTTTTCTATCAGAAGATTTTCCCATAAAAACTTGTCAAACTGCTTTATATTTGGATGAATAAGTGAATGAATGGACGGATACATTGTAGGGTTACTTGAAGGCGTTGACCCAGCTGAGCAAGTTTGGAACGTCGCCTTGGATAGAAATTGGATGGGTTGACAGATTGACATTGACGGGAGGTGGAACGTTTGATGGGCAAGGAGTTGGTGCATGGCGCTTCAACAAATGCCCCGTCGACATGGATTGCGAATATCTTCCATCGGTAATATATGTATCAAACTCATTTCAATATTCTGTTATTCTGAATCCAGGTGGCTAATTTAATTGGGTTGGGAATGATGACGAAGCAGAATGTGAAATTCATATCGACGACAAACACGGTGGTGCGAGGCATCACATCTTTGAATAGCAAGTCGTACCACCTATCTCTGGCGAATTGCAGAAACTTCCACGGGAGTGCGATCAAAATATCGGCTCCATCAAATAGCCCCGACACCGATGGCGTTCACATTGAGCATTCCACTGGTGTCACCATCACTCAATCGGTCATCGGAACCGGCGATGATTGTATCTCCATCGGACCCGGCAATTCTCATATCGCCATCACTGGTCTCACTTGCGGACCAGGCCATGGCATCAGGTACTCCCCCCTCCTGCCCTGCCCTGCCGGCCGTTCAATATTCCGGGCTGGTTAATTGTTTGCTGGTTTGTCTTTTCAGTGTTGGAGGATTGGGAAGATACCACGGCGAAGGAGATTTGACGGGGATTGTTGTGAGAAACTGCGTCCTCAGCGGCACATCCAACGGCGTTAGGATCAAGACATGGAAAAACTCGCCTGAAAGCACTACGGCCTCCAACCTCACTTTCCAAGATATTGTGGTGAACAATGTGGCCAACCCCATCATAATCGACCAGACCCGGTGTCCCTCTTCTACTTGTCTTTCCAGGGTACGTAATAATTTGAAACGAATGGGGCCGTAAGATTAAGGGTTACTAAATTGATTGATGATGTGCATACGCAGGGATCATCTCGAGTGAAGCTGAGTGACGTTCATTTCAAGCACATCAGAGGGACGTCGTCGACTTTGGTGGCGGTGAATCTGGCATGCAGCAAGGACGTACCCTGTGAGAATGTTACGATTGAGGATATTCACTTAGACCTGGCTACTGGTGGACACACTACCAGATCCATTTGTAAATACGTCACCCCTAGTTTCAACGGCACCCGAAATCCTGAGCCATGCGTGGTGAACTCTCAATGACCAGCCGGCCCCTGTTAGCTAGCTATCTCACTCCATAATAAGAGTCATCGCTTAGCTTTCTTTCATGTGTAGTACTAGTAGTAGTGGTGGTGGTGGTATCTCTATGTTTACGTTTATTTTGTAAGCACAACTATTGTCGGTTTTACTTCATTAATAGAATTTTTCCCTTTAGGGAGGGTCTGTTAGATTTGCAGTTGAAATCAAAATCGAAATCAGAATTGATTAGAATGGATTTTCATTCTTGAGAAAAGGAGAGAAAATGATCATTTCCTCAAATGGAGGAATGACATTTCAACAGGAATGGAAATTAATGAGATTACAATTTCACTCAACCAAATAGTTTGAATCAGATTGGATCATTCCTATTCTAATTCCATGCCTCTATTCCTACAAACCAAATGACTTATACTAAGCCACTATAAAAATATATTAAAAGAAGCTTATAATTGAGCCTCTCTAACTCTCAAGTCACAACCACAGCTTGCCGATTTCCACTTCGACTCCATCATTCCCCTGATTTGATTCAATTCGTGAGCATGAGGGATCTGACTACTTGAGTCATGGCAAATTGGCAATTAACCACTCTTGCGTTTTGCCGATCGAGTGACTTCTTTCACTTTGGTCGAGTCACGAGTCATTGGGCTGTCAATGGACCGGATTCTGATCCAATATCCATAATAAAAACAATCTCGGTCTGAACCCCACCCGAGTCCAAAATATGCAAATCCAATCTCATCTTTTTGTACATTAAAATGAAACAGAAAATGGGGTTCGTTGTAATTCTACAAACAGCCAGCCAGTTGGGCAAGTTGGGCTGGGCTTATGATCTACTCATGCCTAACCCTAAGATTTGGGGATAAGGCCCGATTCAGATCAAGCCTGAGGTCTAGCTCAATAACCCAAATGTAATTTGATGTATTCAGGTTGGACTTGGACCTGATCGGGGTTGGGTTGGTCAATGAACATACTCTAAAATTATACATGTGTGCATTTATGCAAATATGTCTGTATATATGTAAATACATATTTATATATGTATTGTCGAGCTGGGCTCAGGTTGGGATAAGCTCAAGCTAGGTTCAAGTTACTTGAGGGATAGGCTCAAGCCTAGTTCAAAAAAAAAAATAAATAAATAAAAAGACCGAAGTCTTGAGCCCAAGCCCAGCCCATGTAAAGTTTTGGGTTGGGTCGGCCCATGCTCGGGTTAGGCCCACCCAAATTGCATCCCCGGTTTGGTTTGCTGGGCCTCATTCTTTCAACTCTTACTCATTTTGGACAAAAACGAATAAAATTAGAACGTTTGATTACAAAACTCTTGCCATGGACCTGATTCTTTTTAGAATAAAAATTCAACTTATGGCACAAAATTGAGGTGGCCAATAGCATGAAAAATAACTGTACCCCATGTTAGTCAATTTCTGTAAAGAAGCTCTATGCTGGCGGTCATAACCACTAGTGTAAATACTTACTAGTGGACTACTGTGAAAACTGAACCTAGGCCAGTTCCAGGACCTAGGCCAGCAATTTATTATCGCCATTACAGAGCTTTTTGAAGAATGAAAACAAGTAGCACATGAGGAACATGTTTATATGATTGTTTTATCGTATTTTATGACTTTCTTAGTATATTATATGCTTATTGAATGTACCAATTTAATGAAACCGTTAGCCTGTTATTATTTTATTTTTAATTTTTTATTTTTAAATTCCATTTCGATTTAGAAGTTACAAGCTTTTTTCTTCATTTGCACAATTTTCTACTCAATTTAGCAATTAATTTTAAATAGATGCTAGTTGCTTCCTTTAACTTTTCTTTTTTATCTTGTCTGCAAACAAATGCAAAAGCTTTTTTAGTTTTTTTTTGTATTTTTTTTCATATTTTGTGTTATGGATGTGGGACTCACATGACTGATTTATGTTTTATTGGTGTAGGTCATACATGTTTCCACTATATATCTACAAGTGAGTATTGTATGTATAGCTATATTATTATTTTAGTTGATGAAAAAATAATAAAATTGAACTTTGTGACCAAATGGATTCAAAATTTATTCTGATCATATTTATCACAAAAGAATTATTTTTTTTGGAAAAAAAAGAGTTTGGTTCATAATAACATTTTCTCATTTTGCCTATTTCTAACTATTTTTGTTCATTCTAGAATTTTATTATTGGAAAGAATGAACAAGAATGAGAGTTGAACCAAACATGGCCTATGATGCTATATGGCGTGTTGAAAGTAGATGTGTTTTAGTTTTCTCTGGGAGAAGAGTTGAAGGTTATGAATGATACAATTAGGGTTAGGATTAGAAGTAACTAAGGCTCTATTTGATTTGATAGAAAATAAGAGAGAAACAAAAAGTTACGGGACAATTAAAAATTTTCACAAAATTGATATGTTAACAATTTATATTAACTTTTTGTTTCTCTTATTTTCTATCAAAGTCAAACCAAGCATATCTTAAGCCTAAAGCAACTTGTTAATTGTTTCCTATAGCTTTAGAGCTTGAACAACATCCCTGTCATCTAATCTTTTTATTTCTTTTTGGGAAAATTACAGATAATTGTCAAGTGCAACAATCAATATCCTGAACTTTCAAAAGTATACATTCAAATCCAATATCGTTAACGAACACTATGATGTGTGGTAAAATTACCAAATTGTAACAAGGCTTAGGTCACTCACATCTATATAAAGCACTCATTCCTACCAGTAAGGATACGTGCGATTAGGCTCTCAGGCATTCTTATTTTCTAAAAAACTTTCAAAAACAATTCTCTGATTTAAGCATCAGAGTGCCCACCCCAAGTAAAACAGCACAAACACTCTAACTCTACCTTTCTTAGATAACAAACACCTCGGCTTCTGACAAGGTATCACTCAAATCAGCGTCCAGTCACCTGGCACGTGAGAGTAGCCAAATCGCGCTACATCACCTTACTTTCAAGTCACCTTGCGTTGGATCACCTGGCACGTGATCAGTATCAGACTTAATCATCTCTTACTCCACAGGTATTTCTTCTTCTTCTTCTTCAACTTGCAGTTATCTCCTCTCCCTTCTAATATTTTCTACCAATGAATCGGAAAATTACTGCCGACAATTGATTCCATCTCCTTATTTCTGATGGATTTTTTTTTCCTGAATGCAATAAGCTCCTTCAATTGCTGTTGCATGCCCCCATTGGCTTGGTTTTCTTGCCACAACATCAAAACTCGAGGTGATATAAAGAAGGTAAGTACCTTCCCTACTTTTGATTTAAATCTATAGCTGTTCTTTTGGTTCACACATATAGCCATAAGTGATTGAAATTGTATATTTGTGTTTCCTTATACATTTAAGATTATTAATATGTTTTGGATCATACATGTTTGTGAGCAATTTCACTTCTTTCTGACTCAACTTTTTCATTCGAGAATGGATTTAGAATTGAATTTGGGACTGATTGAACCTGTTTAGTTTATGCATGGCTCCAAGACTGATATGCATCAATCATTAATACCCACAAAACTGTATTTTATTGCTTTCTTAAACTAATTCCAGATCCGAAAGAAAATCTTTAATCTCCTATTACCCAACCAAAACTGCAACATAATAGTGGATTTTCCTAGTTAAAAGGAAAACTTTTGGTTGCTATTAGTAGAAAGTACTTAAATTCTTTGTAAGTTTAAATTTGGATCAAAAGTAAAAGGTTTTTTTTTTTTTTTTTTGCTGGAAAGTTACTTTTTTAAATTTGGATCCACTATAGACAAGTTTCTTTAATCAATTAAATAGCTGAAAACTAAGAAGCTACTAGAGTATTTTTAAATTTCAAAATAAATAGTAAGTGATCCAATTGGCCATTTCCTGATGGTTAGTAGGAAGCTGGTGGTTCACTGATGTTCCTATCCCATAGGTACAGAGTTTTCACCAGATATCCACATATCAGCTTATCATTCTTAGTTCAAACATAGAAAATTAGAACAAGAACCTCCAAACTTTTTATGCTGCTCATTAGTCTTGGTCATTTAGTGAAGATCTCCTTTGGTTGAGTGAGTACCAACAAGGATAATTGAAATAAGGTAGAAAAGAAAAGCCATTTGTATGCCATGATTTTTTTTTGGCTTTTGTATGCATTTAATTTAACTTAGCAGTACAAGTACAATTCCTGAAATAAGGTAAAAAATCATGGCATACATGATTTGTTAGCAGTTTAAAATCATGGCATACAAAAGCATTCAGTTTACTATAATGAGGAGATACACAAAGCTGCACAAGATCAACGAGTAGACAATTCAACCACCATGAAGAATTACTCAGGAAATAAGCCATCACTATGTGTAGGATCCTTATTGATCATAGATTAGCAACACAATTTTCTATAGAGTTCAGCCTCAGCGCTCTAGGGATCCAGCAAATCTACATCACTATGGGCCGGCTTGGCAATGCAAGCTCCCTCATCTCTGCTTCTAATTTGGAATTCTGTATTTCCAATAGATCCTCTAGAAGACCAAAAGTAACTGCCATGAAGACATGTAAAAGGTCCCTTCAAAATACCAATAGGGCATAGCTTCCAAATAAAGCGTCGTTCAAATGGTAAGAAAATTTCCCCATCAGATTTAGATTTTCTGAGTTCCAGCTCGCATATTCTTGCAAAGGATCTCAAGTAAGTCAAAGTTTTTCTAAAATCTTGGAAGCAAGATTATAAAGAGAAATCAGAATCAGAAAAAAGAAATGCCTGAATTTGATTAAGGAATTTGATTTGGCGGAAGAGATTGGTCCTTTGTCAGAAGAAGATAGGAAAAAGAGGCTTGAAGTAAAGATGATCCTAGATAAGTTAGCTTACAAGGATGAACTAAAGTGGAGACAAAGAGAAAAAGTTAACTGGCTGAAAGTAGGGGATAAAAATTATGGTTTATTTCACAGGATGGCAAATGCAAGAAGAAGAGCCAGTCAAATTGAAAGGGTAGAGCTAGATGACCAAGTGGCTGAATCTTGAATTGAGTTGAAAAGTGTAGCAACTTACTACATTTCAAATTTGTTCAAGGAAAGATGGAAAAGGAGACCCCTCCCCCTTGATCTACACTTGAATAGGATCTCAGATGCTCAACAAAGAGAGCTAGAAGCCCCATTCTCAGAGGAAGAGGTTTGGCAAGTGATAAAAAACTTGGAAGTTGATAAATCTCTAGGGTTATATGGGATCTGACAT